CCTTTGGATGCGGTCTTCGAGCCCTGTGGAGCGGACTTCAGTGCTGAGACGGTAGTGAGGTACAGGCGCAATTGCTGTAGAGGTGGGAGGCGCTTCAATTCAACAGAATCAAGTCATGCGATCGCGAGAGAGAAAGTTGCCGGCGCGGCCGGGCAATATCAATCAAAGCTCATGGTGGAGCAAGGAAGTATGGAATGTCGCGAGGGTGCGGGCCAGAGAATACGAGGGAATCCGTTAAAGAAGGCGAACAGGTGGAGGATTGGATTTTGGGGGGGGTGGAGTGGGCACGCCGCTCCGGGATGAAACTCTGCGGCACATCAGTGATAATTAATATGCAGCCCAAAACAGCTATCCATTGGTGACTCAGCCTATGTCAAGGATGAGAAGGAGCAGCCTAGAACGATTAAGCTCCTGGTCCCCCGATAAAGATTGTACATATTATCCGTTTCTAGAGATCTTTGGCCCCGGCATCTGGACACGCTAATGCTATAGGTCGGACTCAGCCCGTCTTCCTACTACAGTTCTATCTGCACCCCCCAACTGTTCGTCGACCGCTCATTGTGTCTGTCTCCGTGTCATGGCCATATTTGGAGTAGGGCTGGCGGGACACTGCTCTTGTGTCGGTGGACACTATCAGGGCTGAATACCCCGACTTATGGTCTAGGTAATTGTTGCATCCACTGCCTTCTGGTGTCCTACCACGGCGCAGTTGGTGATCTGGTGGACGATCCAGTCTGCAAAAGTTCCCATTTCCTAATCTGCAGTGAGGGTTGGTCTTTGAGATGCATGTTACCTGTAGCCATCGGCTTGATAAGCACCGCTGTGGTCTTTTTCGGCCAGATTTTCGGTAGCATGTTCGTAAACGCGATACCATCCAAGTTCTGATCACGCCAAGATAGCTCTCAGGTTGGAGGGCTTTTAGGCTCCTGGTACTGAAGCTGGACATCTTTGTCCTTTGCAGCCCTTAGAGTTGCGATCTTATCGTCCAGCACAGCAATTTCCGCTTCAACTCTCAGAAATTTCTCTGAAAGCAAGTCCTCATACTCTTTGTCGGACAGAGATTTCATGGGAGAAAAAGCAGCGAAGCCGTTCTTTAGACGTGATGAGAGCTGGGTAATAGATGTAGTGCCATGCGTGGTATTCAATCCTGCTTGAGTCAGAGCTCCGATCACTCCGAACATGATGCCACCGGTCAAGAGGCTTCCTCGAGGCACTAACTGCTGTCAAAACGTGTTCATTCTGCTTTATTCCCGCCACTCACAGAAGTTTGCAAATACTACTCCTGAACATGAGCCTGCAATGCTACTTGCGGCCATCTTGTGCAGATCATTATCCCGGTTCAAGGCACCTGCCAGCAACACACTCCGGCAATCTGGCAAGACGTGAGCTGATGCAATTTCAAGATTTGGGCTGACACAGACAGAAAAAGGTGGTGCCAGCACAGAACCACTGTGTTGCAGAAAACGCGGTATAGGCCAGTGGATTCGAAGTCTGGATGAGAGTGCCCGCGACGCCGCCGTATGCCGCACCACAAGCTCCTGGTTACCATAGTCAACACATCAGATTGCTGATTGTTCTTTAGATAGTCTCGTGTCCCACCTGTCGCGGCTCCGATGTAGATGGCCGGCACAAATGGCGTCCAGAAGATATCTTTCCCGGCTTTAGGATTTTCCTTGGACATGGCGCATTATATAGCTGTTGGAGCTCCTCACAAGACAAAAGCAAGACAAAAGGAATGGCACCGGCGGCTATCGAGTCCCAGTGAACGGGAACAGATGCGCCTTTGAGGTCAGAAGTGCAGGATCGCGCCAAGCCCCCAATTTGGCACGGCAGATCTAAACCCAAAATGGCATTGAGCGGGTCAAGGAAAGAAATGGCCGGACAAACCTGCCCTGCAGAGTCTCTCCTACCGCCCGCAAATCTTTCAAGGCTTTCGTACACATCCTCTGCGCCGACATCCACGAGGCGCTGCACTTCGTCTCCTATCAAACACCATCAATTCCAGGCTACTGTCTGGTTGGAGTGCGTTCAACGACGTACTTGGACTGTGACATTCGACTCGCATTTTCCAATCCAGCAGGGGACGTACATATTTAGTGCGCCTGCCGATATTTTGCAATCATGGGTATGAGCACATGGTGACAGGGCGACATTTGGCGCACAGCCTGCGCACCTGGTCGTTACGTCAATCTCACTCGCTGACGTGTTATAGCTCCCAAAAAGAACCAAAAAATGTCCCTCGGGACCTTCTTGCAGGACGAGAGTGCGTCCTACTCGTGGTTGGTTGCAGCCGACATCAGTCGCTAACTGTTGGTAGACTATGGTTCTTGGGCCGATGAGATGGAGGATATGCCCCTGCCAAGTAAGCTCAGCGTGTACGAGATGAAAACACAGATGGACAGGGGATGCTGACTGCGTTTGTTTAACAACAGCCTCCGACACACGACCAAGCTATGGGTCTGAACGAAGAGCGTTTAGCACGACTACTGGCATGGGCAACGGCTATCCAGGTCAGTTGTCGCATGTCATATCATTACCGAACAGGACAGAATGCTGACTGTAGACTACCGCCACCCACAGACCGACGAGATACATACCCTGCACGAGAACAACTCCCTCTCCCCACGCAACCCCCTTACACTGCACATCTCGCAAACCTGTCCTTCGATGCCACGCAAGGAGATGTAAATGATTTCTTTAGAGACTGCCAGGTCACAAACGTCCGCATTGTGGAAGACAAACAAGATCGCAAACCCAAGGGCTTCGGTTATGTCGAATTTGCAACACTGGATGGTCTTAAGGCTGCATTGGCTCTCAGTGGCAACAACTTGGCAGGTCGTCAGGTCCGTGTTAGCGTCGCCGAACCGCGTGAGTTATCATTTTGGCCTTTATGAAACTGGGACTGACTGTCTGCGTAGCAAAAGAAAGGCATGAGACCCGCGATTTCAGCGACTGGTCAAGAAAAGGCCCTCTTCCAGAACTGCCGAATCAACGCAGGGTTTCCGACAGGCCAGGAGGTTACGGCGGCCGTAGCTTTGACAACATGTCCGACGCCGGAAGTGAGAGGGGCCACGGGAACGAACGTGGCGCCCGGCGTGGGTTCGGGGACGGAGATGGCAAGGTTCGGGACTTCTCAAATTGGGAAAGAAAAGGACCATTGTCACCGGTCACACCTGGCCCCACGAGTTTAAGGGAGGGTGGGAGACAGGGAAGCAAGGAAGGCTACGGCTTCCGCAAGAATTCGCCGTCCTGGGGCGATGCAAGATCACAGGACGGGTCTCGGCCTCCACGACGTGAATACGCCGAACGACCTCCTCCCGAGAGACAACCGACCGCACCGGAACTTGATAATCAATGGCGCGCTCGCATGAAACCTGATTCTACCAAAGTCCCGACTCCCGAAGCCAGCGAGCCCTCTTCTCCTGCCGCGCCGCCGGCTCCAGCAACCAGACCGAAATTGAATCTGCAGAAGAGAACTGTTTCCGAGACGGACCCCGTGGCATCGCCTGCTGCGATTTCCGATGTTAAATCCAGCCCGTTTGGAGCAGCTCGTCCAGTCGATACGGCATCTAAAGAGAAGGAAGTCGAAGAAAAGCGCCAGCTTGCTCTTCGACAGAAAAGGGAGGCGGAGGAAAAAGCAAAGGCTGACAAGGCCGAGGAAAAGAAATTGGCAAAGGAGAAAGCTGAGGTGGACAAGGAGCGGGTCAAGGAAACGCCTAGCAAAGAGACCAAGGAACCCAAGGAGCCCAAGGAGTCTGCTGCTGCCAAAGAAAATGGCGAGGACACGGCCCAATCTACGCCGAAGTTTGATATTCTGCGTCGTGCTGACTCGGGCATGAACGATATGGTTGCGGATGACGAAAATGACGAGGAGGCGGAAGAACGGCCTCAGCCGACAGACGACAAAGCAGTCAAACCCAAGGAAATCGTGCAGACCCCAACGTCGGCGAAGGCCAATGGTTCTTGGAGGAACGCACCGTCTGCCCAACCCCAACCCCCCGCTACCAGCACTGCTACAGAACTGGAAGAGGACGGCTGGAGCACAGTGTCCAAGCCGCAAAAGCAACGCAACCAGCGACGATACGGTCCGTCGAGAGGAGCGGCGTCCTGAGAAAATATCAGAGTTGCCACTCCAGGGCCGTGCGAACGATCATGCAGCACATGCTGTAGCTGAAGTTTGTTGTGCGGTCTTTTGTACATCTACTCGCCTCTCACCATATCTGGCCGACCTGCAGTTTTCAAAGTACAGTCGGTGTGGGAAGGCGGATCTCGGCAATTTTGGCTATTCTCCAGTCTTCGCACCTGTTCCCAAAAATTCCAGGGATCGGGAGTCTGCTTGCTTTGTCCAGCATGGAGGAGTTTGGGCAGGAGAAGGGTCTGGAACTGTAGCCAGAGAAAGTCTGATAAGGATGGGATCGCGGCTCCGGAAAAACATGATTTGGAGAGACAGTCTCTCGACTCGCACTCGTGTCTTCACTCAAGGCTGGCCAAATACGACAGACCACATCGCCTTTTAGATGGCTCATAGAACAAGTATTGCTTTCAGGGTGTGTGTTCGTCCTCTGTCCTCTCTGTCCCCTGCACCCACAGCATGCACGTGTCACAGCGCCTACCTTGAATGGCACTGTTAGTCAGAAGAGGCCCCCAGTCCAAATGCTTCATCTGCAATTGACTCCTACACTGTCATCGCCACTGGTGAGTCGCCTGCCCAGTGCTACCTAGGAAGATACCATGTGCCTCGTTAGTTGGGTGCGTCGGTACTCAAGTGCTCTAGATGGATCAGATCACGTGCTATCACCAATATCAGGAAAGTGAGACGAGGTACAATGTGGACCAATCAGTGGGAAACAAAAAATATGCCAAGGCCACAGCCAAAAAGTGTAGTCACTGGATCTCGAACATGTGAGTGAAAAAAAAAGTGACCAAAGCAAACACTCTTGGTCTCTAGCGACCAGATTCTCTGCCAACCCTTCACCCAGTCATGAGATGGGGTACAGACGATGGCGAAGGGCCTGGACGACTTGATCGAGTTTCTGCTCGAGGAGATTGCCGTCAGTGGAAGTCGAGGTCAGTTTGATTTTCGCGACTCATTTTCCCCCTCCAAACCTGCATGATCCGAGGTTCCTGGTGGCGATGGGTTCCAACTTCACTTTCAACCACTGGATCCGCCCCACATCTATCCATCAACGAATGCTAACTCAAGTCTACGCGTAGGTGTTACTATCCGTGATGTTGCTCACTTCATCTCTTCATTCTACAACGACCTGGAAGATAACTCACGACCCAATGTCCCCGTTGAGCACATTGAACCAAGCCCTCCGGTTACAGTTGATTTCCCCCTACTTTCCAAGATCTGGTCCTGGTTAGGTCGGCATCCTGATGTCTCTATCGGTGAAGATAGAAGGTACAACAAGACATCGTTGACGGAGATTGAGATTCAATTTCCGAATTACATCGACCTTGGTCTCAGTGGCAGGCAAATACCCGCTGAGGACGGTGCCGACTCGGACGGGTCAGAGCAACCCGGCACAACACCAACGAAGCAACCAAGACTTCAGAAACCCCGTGCTACTAAGGGCCCACGGATCTCTGTTAGCGAGACGCGAATCTGGCAAGCGATATGCGGTCATCCGCCAGACCTCAGCAAGGTTGTACCTCTTGAGTTCGAACTCTTGTCTCATATTGCGGCAGCAAGGTCAACTGGAATTTTACAAGGAGACCTTGTGAGAGCATCTGGCCAGGACAAACGCTCTGTACCTAAGCGGACGGACTCCCTACAAAGCAAAGGCTACATCACAAAGGAAATCGTTTTTCGCCACGGTACTCGGACAAGTCGACTGACGCTGAGAAAGTTCGCCCTACAAAATGCAGCAGACGCTGAGCCGTTCCATAAGCTCCATAGCCTCCCACAACGTGGTTCAACTTTGCGAGATGTCGTCCGCAGGATTTTTGATGTGCTGGAAGACCGCAAGCTTATATCTCAAACAAGTCTGGCAGAAGAACTGAGCCTGGGGTCTTCGGGGGAGTCCGCCATCCTTTCCAAGATCATCCGTCGGCTCGAGAAGCTGAAGTGTATCAAGAGAGTCCGAACTGCTGTCGGACCTTCTGCAACCTCTGATGACCTACGACATTTCGTTCAACTGGTGCGTCGTGCCGGCGCAGTGGACCTGGATAATTTCGACACAGAGATATTGTCTTTGAGCCAGACAGTTGAGGAGTTGGCATCCACTTACGACCGCAAAGACCGCAACAATAGTCCCCTCGAAGTTCCAGCCGCCGAGGAGGAAGATGACGAGTCCGACGAAGCTGTCTATAAACCTGCCAGGTGGAACCCTGACCGCTTAATGCCTAATGTTATGGTTGATGCCGTACGACTTGCGGGTCAAGAGGGTCTGACGAATCTGGTAAGTCCATGTAATTCCCCAAGTCTGCCACAATACTAACAGTGCAGAATGCACGTAAAATGATTACTGGCGACTTTGTGCGCCGTCAGCTAGAGTCTCTGTTACTCCGACTTTCATGCGAATCACTCATCATGCAGCCGCAACATTTGTGCCACTTGGCCATCGTCCGGACCACCGTGAGACAGGAAGGGGTCACGCAGTATGTCCATTACTCGTGGGATACCTTTCTACAAAAGGCTACAGACCACCATCTCGACGTTTCCGATATCCCAGGTGCTGGTCAGATGATGAAGAGGCCTGCAGGCAATGACGCTGGCTCCGAGGTCGACCACCAGAACTCCCTTCATTTTGATGTTGATGAGTTCGGGTTTCCGGTGCAACCCCCTTTGGCTCTGCAGCTGCGCCACGGCCAGGCTACCTTTTTCGAGTTAATAAAGGCAGCTGCCGCTGGAGATGTCAAACAGCGCAATGGGGAGCCTGCCATTGTTAAGCACGGGATGAAGATGGCTCTTACAACACGCGACAAGTCGACAGCCGTGTCCAGCACGCCAAACTGGGTTCCTAACCGGTTGTCTCACCAGCCACAGCAGCCTACAGGACAACCGCTAAAACGCCGCAGAAATTCAGGTGATGAGAAGACAACAATTGGCCGTCCTCGCAAATACATGCGGGGCACGGAAAAGTTCTGGCGGATGCAATTCAAGCAGGCAAGACTGGATGCTGGCACGAGTTCTGACAGTCTTACAAAGGGAATCGCCCAAAATCCCTCGGCCGTTGCTTTACATACCCGACGCCCAGCAGGTTTCGATGAAGCACTAGTCCAGGCCCTGGAGGCCAGATTGCCGATCCCCATGCATCCGGAAGACATCAACGAGGACTGGGTCCGTTCGACAAAAACCATGATAGATCGTTCTTCAGAGGGCATCTATATATCTCCCAAAGGGTTTCGCTCCGACAACAGCCAGAAAGTAGCGCAGATCATGATTGTAAAAACTCCGCGGCTGAAATCACTCGACTTCAACGAGAGGGACGTCATCCATCCATTTCGCTTCCTCTCTTCTAGCGCATCCCATAGCTTCCCGTTCCGAAGATACTACCCCAATCTCCCACCCTGGAGTCAAGCAGCGCCAGGTGCGCCAAAATCATCGAAGCGCCAGGCTAGAAGGGCACTCAGCAAGGTCGAACAGAAGGGGAAAACAGGCCCTAGATTGGGCGTTTTCTATGAAAGCCCGCGCCTGCAGGCGCCACAGGCTCCTGAACTTCCAAAGGCCGGCGATGTTCAGCTACAGGTAAACGTGTCCATGGACACTACCGACGAAGAAACCGGACCTCTCCGTGAAAGCACTTTGTTGCCTAGAGACTCATCACCCGCATCGATGAATGAGGTCGTCTCTCCCAAGGACGTGAGAATTGGAATTGTGCAGGCCGAAGGAGGTTCGCAACAGAGCAATCAAGAACGAGACCGCAGCTCAGTGACACCGGTGGCTCCAAGCTCGAGGCCGACCACCACCGAAACCCCTCGTATCAGACCTTCCAGAAATCGGAGGTTAACCCGCAAAGCCATCGAATCTCGGAATTCGGATCAGCCCTACTCCCAGCTGCCTGATATCCTTTCTGAAGCTCCGAAAGTCCCATTCGATGTATGTGCAGCAGACTCTGGAATCCAAAATGAGACATCCCTTGATCAAGAACCTGAAGCATTCAGTGCAGAGGCAGTGTCACATTCTATAGACCACTCGCCCACAAAGGAGCGCTCCGCAGATATCCCAGACTCAGATACACAGAAGACACAAACCCCTCACCATGCACAGCATCCCATTCCCAGTGCCGCAGAAAGGGATGTTGATGCGAGTTCCAGCGTTGGCGAGACAGCAGTCACGAGAATGCCTGCGGTCGAAAATGACATCACCGAGAAGCCAGCTACACTGGCTATCTTAGAGGGAATCTCCGAAGTTGCCACAACCAGAAGTCCCTCTGTGGCTGAGCGGGCGCAAGAGAGCCATCATGTCGCAGAAGAGATGGACAATGTGCAACAGAAAAGCTCCTTCCCATCTGAGGCCGACACCAGACAACGAGTCTTAAAGGCAAGTAGAGCAAGAACTGAGTCTGTTGACACAGGCGACTCTGAAGAGGAACCACAGCCAAAGAACCGACAAAGTCAAGGAAAACAGCGCTATTTCGACGGTGCCAAGGCACTCTTTCGGAGAATAGTCCTTCAACTGATTCAGGAGACATCAGGGGTCGTGCCAAATGATCCGCCAACGCTCAAACGCATCTCGTTACCTCGCTGGCAGGAGGCTGGAGGGCAAGGTCGACCCTTGCTTAAAACAATCAAGACTGCAATCAAATCCTTGACCGAATCTCGGAGACTAAAACAGGTCATTTTCACATTCCGAGCGAAGTCTGGGCTTATGGTTAAGCGGTCAATCATCTTCCTGCCGCATATCGACCCTTTGTCTCAGGCGGTCGAAGACATGAAACAGAATATTATCAACGCAGAACCAACTGACTATGTCCCGCCTGAGTGGCGGGTTGAAGGCTATCGCATTCCCCTCGTCAATAAAAGGCTCCGAGCAGAACGCCTGAAGTCGAAGAGCGACGGCCCAGAAGACGACGCGCATCGACGGCAGCGTCAGACGGAACCATTGCCTCCGCCGCCAGTCAGCGCGAGGGGAGCCATACGGAAACAGCCACACCGTCTCCAGTTGTAATGCCAGAAACTCCGGCAACGGCTTTCCTCACGCTCAAAGTTCCAGCATTGGGTTCACTTCCAGTTGTGCATCTCCATAAGTGGAGGGCAGAGTGTCCAGTAAGTGCTTTACGCTCCGATACCTCCGATGCGAATCCGTGGAAATCGAGCGCGTTCCGACCCGTACGGCGGCGCCGGAGAGTGGAACAACAAGCCACAAAGACAAATGGACGTTCAATCATATGGCGAAATTTCCCATCCTCATTGGAAGATATCCTGCAGCTTCCTGCTCTCAAGTTGGACTACGATGCCTTTCAAGCCGACGATCCTGACTGGCAACGTTTTGCTTGTGAGGTCGAGGGGGTTCGCGCCTGGGAAGAACAAGAGCCCGAGGTGGCTCTGTCGAAGCGCTCTAAGTTCGCTTTCATCAATCATTTGGTCCCAGGCGCCTTGTATGCAGGGTCAGTCGTTCCCTTGTCTGTTGAATTTAGTAAGATTGTCAAGTTCGACAAAGATGGAGTCGAGTTTGAGGTTGCATATCCTCCTGACAGATCATGGCCAGCATTTGTGAACGCCCTAAATGCACCTCCCAATATTACTTCCCGAATCGCAGCGCTCGACGAGACAGAGTTGATATCGGCGCCACCTTCTTCCCCAAAGCGTCGCATTCGGCGATCCAACAGACCGTCCAAGCGCGTGCTGTCAGAAGATGACCACGGCTTCGTCCGCCTACCGGCACCTAAACGCCGCAGGAAAACGGCACAGGGTCTATACTCGGCACCATCGAGACGGACTGGAATACTAGCTCTGAGTGCTACACGCCAAAAGCTTCCTCGAGGTGCCAAGTGGCTGCAGACTATGCCAGAGGAAATGATTTATCGCATTGCCATTGCTGTCATTGTTGTTCGGACTTTAGCTGGCGGTATGCAAAGTTTTATCAACTGGCAAATTGTCATGACGCTGTTTCCGGAGCAAAAAGAAGAAGTTATCAAAGCTCGGTGGAACATATTATCAACAAGATACAGTTCCGACATACAAAATCTCACGGGTGACTTTCAGTCGAAATACTTGGACGCGCTACAAGCGGGCGAGGTAGTGTCGGTCACCTTTGATGACATTGGAACCACAGATTGGGACGCCATTGTCGAGTGGGCTTTAAAGAGCCTCGACCATTTCAACTTGAGGCGGATTGCACACCTTCCAGCTGACCGAGATGATTTGCTGGATCGCTATACCGTGGAGTTTACCCAACCCAAATACTCTCACAACCTCATTTGGGGGAACAGCACGACCAATGTCAAGGAAGAAGTTGCTAGGTCAGCTGTTTTCGCCACATGCGCTGATTCGACTATGCAACCCGGTATCCTTCGTTATCAACATGACTTCGAAGTTGAGATGGCTGCGCCGGCCCTCCGCGTGGCCAAATCATGGGTACTCGCCACCATTTTCACCCCAGAATCAGTGTTCGATGCGGCATTGGCCCAGACCAAGCTCTCCTCCCTTGGCTCAGACCAGTTTGAATGTGACGCACTCCTTTCACGTGTATTGAAATTGCTCCAAGACGAGAAGATCATACAACGGAAGCAGAGTCATCAGCCACTGGAGCAAGGATTGCGTGTGCGCACATGGGAACCCCATAGGAAGTTCTTTGAGCGATTCGAGGAACGTTGTATGGTCACTCCCGAAGGGCTGCGTCGTGCCGTCAAATACAAAACAGAAATTCTTGACCGGGGGTTTGCTGAGAGACATAGTATCGTGATCGACAAAGAGGCAGTTGTACCTGACGGTGAGATGTTGGCAGTATTGAACTTGATAGCGGCGGGACGGATCAAGGTCCGACCAGGTGCGGACTTGCCCAAGACTCGCTACGGCCTGGATCACGAGCGAATAGGGTACCGAACCAAAAACCTGGACAAGAAGTTGCTAGGCTTCAGCATTGAGATCACGCCGACAACGGAGTATTTGTTGGGAGGTCCTTTGTCGGGCGAATTTGGAATACGCCAGGTCCCCGTCCCACGGGGCCAGGCAGATGAACCTATGGGCTCAGTTCCATTGTGGGTCGATATTCATGGAAATGTGCAGGTGTCACTTTGGCACAAGCTTCTTGTGGGTGTGCTCGGGTTTGTCTCACAAATGCCGGGCGTGACTGCCTCACACATCTCAAGGGCTTTTGGTTTTGTGCCTGATGAAGTTGAGGTGGAGTTGATCATGCAGTGGTGTGCACAATCTGGATTCGCAAAGATGGACCCTCGAACGAAGGGATATGAGACATTGGAGTGGTGGTGGCTGTGTGTTGACGAGGCTGGCGCATAAGGGGAGATATAGGTTGATCAATTCTTTGGGTTGACGTGTATTGTGGGCGAACTGTGACAAATACGCAGCGTTGGCGTTGTTCAAGACCAACAGGACAATAGGCATGAACGGTATTGATGGGATAGGAGTTCTGGGAACAGGAGTGCGCAGCTATTTCTTGTAGCGCAGGATGTTCGGTGTGGTGGCCAATGGTCTTTTGGTGGACAAAGGAGGGCGACTTGCACATGTAACAATCTCGTATTCGTGAAGATGCGCATCTTCAGGCGCTCTTGTACATTATTGTATATCACGAAGATACCGGAGATCTCTCTGGCAGTTTACATTCCCACAGCAATCTATGTCTATAACCCGTTAATGGTCGTGCACCAGTATGTCTTCCAAACAGTTTCCCCGCATCCGCAAGATGCGCTTCTCCAAGTCTACGGACCATTCAGCAACTCACCTTGACGGACATTCACCCACGGGCATCCAACAATCCACTCACAATCCCCGGAGGCTCGAGGCTGAGGCTTCGACCCTGCAACAATTACGCCTTCGCGACTAATCTTGAGATTCTCCAGTGTCTTTCAAACCACTCGTTATCGGAGCCTGGCCGCGGGAGATGAGGTGCAATTGTGCTGCCCCTCCAACAGATCACGACTTCTTAACCAAGATTCACAATGTCTTATATTGTTCCAATACACCCTCCTAGCGGTGTACGCCATGCCATCAAGCTGAATTTCCTAGAGCCTGGCGTTGACACCCTTATTGTCGCGTGAGTACACTTCCAATCCCTCCGCGCCGATAGGCTATGCGCTAAAGGCATGATCTAGGAAAGCGAATCGACTCCAGATCTTCGAGCAAGGACCGGAAGGCTTGAGCCTGCTACACACGAAGACCGTCTATGGCTACGTTACCATCCTCGAGAAGCTCCGTCCGGAGTCTTCCAAGACCGACCACCTTTTCGTCGGAACCGATCGCTATCAATATTTCACTTGTTCATGGAATGCGCAGACAAAACAGTTGCAAACAGAGCAGAGCTATGTGGATCTGGCAGACAAAGTCCTGCGCAGCTCGCAAGAGTCGGACAGGTGCCACGTGGATCCTACACGGCGGTACATGACATTGGAACTATATGACGGAGTAATATCAGTCCTGCCCTTTATCCAGCCTTCCAACAAACGGGTCAAAAGAGAAAGCACTTCCAACACTCAGGTCGGGGCTCTTGGCGAGCCGGTTCAGGTCAGGATCGAAGAGTTGTTGACAAGGTCATCGGCCTTTTTGGAAATGGATCCCGACTCAAAAGACAATCCGAGGCTGGCCATCCTGTGGGAAGACAACTTGGAGAATCCACGGCTGGTGATAAGAGAGCTCAAATACCGGACTGGTGGAGAGCAGGCATCTGCGGATTTGGAGAGAGTGGCCGAACTAAAGGGTGACCAACTCGACAAAGGCGTGAGCCATCTCATACCCGTCCCCGTTCCGTACGGAGGCTTCCTGATTCTAGGCGACCATGCCATCCGTTACGTCGACCGCGATTTGACAAATGTCATCACACAGCCCTTAGATGACGACTCGACGATATGGACGTGCTGGACCAACGTTGATGACCGACGATGGCTTCTTGCTGATGACTACGGCAAATTGTTCTTCTTGATGATTGAGACAAGCTTTTCCGAAGTGATATCATGGAGACTCGACCCTGTCGGTGTGACCTCGAAGGCTTCTTCCTTGATATATCTTGACGAAGGCTACGTCTTTATCGGATCACATGCGGGCGACTCGCAGGTTGTGCACATCGAGGAGGAAGGGGTCCGTATCGTACAGACATTCGCCAACATCGCCCCTATTCTAGATTTCACCATCATGGATCTGGGTCGAGGTGCCGAAGGGGGCGCAACCCCCGAGTTCTCATCTGGCCAAGCTAGGATAGTGACAGCCTCTGGTGCCTGGCAGGATGGTACCATTCGGAGTGTCAGAAGTGGTGTCGGTCTGGAGGAGATTGGCACAATTGGCGAGCTGTCTCATATTATCGACTTATGGGGCTTGAGCTCAACAGGGCTGGACAGTACGCAGGATACCCTGCTTGTGTCCTTCGTCAATGAGACGCGAATATTCCAATTCGATGCAGAAGCCTCAGTTGAAGAAGTTGACGACTTCCACCACCTCGAACTCTCCCAGCCAACTCTTCTCGCGACGAATCTTCCGGATCGAAAGCTCGTTCAGGTTTACGAGACCGGATTTCGGATCACAGATCTTGAATCGGACATGTTAACATTGGAATGGAAACCGCCCGATTCCGCAGCAAAAATAACAGCTGCCAGTGCTAATTCGGTCCATCTTCTTCTGGTGGAAGGTGGCCACACTCTCCACGTCTTCCACGTCGCCACCAGTGACGCGAAACCCACCGTCTCAAAGACCTTCCCACCAAACTCACAGATATCAGGTGTAACAGTCCCAGATACACAGAGTAATGTCTGTATTGTCTCGTTCTGGCAAACAGCCTCTGTTGCCATTCTTGACCTACACTCCCTCGACACCCTACAATCACAAATGGTTGGCACCCCTGGGACGGACATCCCACGTTCTATCCTGGTCGCCAACGTCCTCCCTGATGCTCCCCTGACTGTGTTCGTTGCAATGGCCGACGGCACAGTCTTGTCATATTCCTTCGACCCCTTGAAGAATGCTCTGTCCGGGATGACGAAGATTTTACTGGGAACTGAACCAGTTTTCTTCAAACGACTACCAAAGGATAACCAATCGGGCTTGTCCAACATATTCGCTTCATGCGAGCAACCCTCCCTGATATATTCCTCCGAAGGTCGCATTGTCTATTCTGCCGTAAACGCTGATAGTGCTTCTCGTGTGTGCAGTTTCAATTCCGAGGCATATCCCTCGGCCATCGCTATAGCAACTCCAAGCGAGCTCAAGCTGGCCTTGATCGGCACGGAGAGAACGACTCAATTGCAGACGCTTCGAATTCGCGAAACAGTGAGATGTCTCACCTACGAGCCCAAGGCCAAAATGTTCGCGATGGGGTGCGTCAGCCGAGCCATTGAAGACGGCGCGGAAGTAACGATGAGCTCGGTTAAGATCGCAGACGAGGTGAGTTTCAAGGAATTACACTCGGTCGATCTACAAGATCAAGAATTGGTGGAGTGTATCATTACAACGGGCTCTTTCGAACCGGAGAATGAATCCCGTGCCTACGGGGAGATGTTTGTGGTAGGGACAAGCCTTCTTGAGGAGAGTGAATCTGGTGAAGAGTGCCCGAAGGGACGGATACTCGTCTACGAGGTCAACAAAGAAAACAAGTTGAAGGAAGTTACTCAAATCAAGGTCAAAGGCGCATGTAGAAGTCTCGCCATGTGCGAGGGCAAGATTGTGGCGGGCCTAGTGAAGACGGTGAGTCTTTTATCATTGCGTTGTAGACTCTGCGGCTGACTGGTCTGTTCAGGTTGTTCTTTACGGGCTTGTGCCATCATCAACACGAGGAGATCACTCGCTCAGACTGGAGAAGCTGGCCGCATACCGCACATCAACGAACCCGCTATCTCTAGCTGTCATGCCCGCCACTCCCAGAGGACCGGCCTCAATCGCCGTTGCAGATCTGATGAAATCTCTGTCCATCCTTCACGTCAAGCATGATGCGTCTTCCTCAACAGGCTACACTCTGCAGGAAATATCTCGCCATTTTGCTACACTCTGGTCTTCAGCCACTGCGGCAATAATGGAAAACGAATGGGTTGTTGCCGACATGGAAGGTAATCTAACCATGCTCCGTCAGGCTAAAGACGGCAGTGGAACTAGTGGCTTCAACCGCCGGCTCGAAGTTACGGGAGAATTCCGACTGGGGGAAGTAGTCAATAAAATTGTCCCTCTGACACTCACTCCAGCACCACCAAAAGAAAACGGAAACAAGGAGATCGAGTTTTCAAATTCAGATGGACGGCGTTACGACCGTACGAAGGAGTCTGCTGCTTCGAAGATTCTGCGTGAGGGACCGATTGTTACTCCGCGGGCGTTCCTGGCGACCATCGAGGGCGCGATATACATGCTTGCAACCATCAATCCGGCTTTTATGAACGTGCTGTTGACGTTACAGTCCACACTGGCGAATCGAGTACAAGCCCCAGGCTATATGCCTTGGAGCAAATTCCGAGCACTGAAGACTGAGGTTTCGGAGAAGGATGAGCCGTTTAGAGTTGTGGACGGAGAGATGTTGGAGCAGGCGCTGTTGAGCATAGGCGACGATGAACTGGAGGGAGTTATAAGAGAAGCTGGACTGGCGGAGGGGCAGCTGGGGGTGACTGTACAGGAGGTTAGAGGATGGGGAGAAGAGCTCAGGCGATTGTGCTAGACAAGCACGTTTGTACCATGGATTCATTGGAGGACGAGAAATACCCTGGTTCTTGTGCAGTTTCATGATTTCTTCTCCCTAGTGCGGTTGTCGGGTATCGGTTGGAAATTTGGGACATCAGGGAACAGGAAGACATGCTAGAATATCAAGAGCGCCATCTTTGTCTGGGGATGAGACCGATGACGGGTTGCGGCGTTGATTTTGCAAGAATTGCCAAGCCCCGAATTCAACGAGGCCTGCAGCCTTCCGCTCCGCTCCGCCATGTCAACAAAACCCGGAAACTCTTGGCATTGTCACGACCTCCGTATCCTCTTTCATGTACAACAATAAGGCGGGAAGGTGAAACAGAACAACCAAGGACAGGATAAGCGACGCTCGCTGCACTGGCACGCACGGGACTCTGCAGTTGGGAACAATGAGGTTTGCGGAAAATTGGAAACAATCCCCAAAGGCTCAAACAGACACCCGGCAAGTCGACCGGGACAATTTCACTTCATCTCAAGCCTTTACCTGCCCAAGAGCGCATTGAGGGCTCCGCTTGGCATGAGGAGGCTGGTGTGAGAACAATTAACAACAATAGGAACAATAGGATGTGTGGTCTCTCAGTTCACTTCACTTCTGTTCTGTTCTGTTCTGCGCCGCTGTGCTGCGCACCAAAACCCATTGAAACAATAGGGCGGCAGGGCGCAATTCACTTGCACGGGAGTCACAAGAGCTCCCAGCCACCTGCAAGCAAGTCTATTGTTCTCATTCACATTCACATTCACTGTCACTGGCAGAGTCAATGGCATTTGCATTGGCATTGTCAATGCAATTGATAAAAACCTGAATAGAATCAATCAAGCAATCAAGCAATCAATCAATTAATCAATCAATAGACAGTATCTCTTCTCTCCCCCCTGCGTCTTCTCAAGCCGCTGTGTCTTTCATAAACGCCTCTCCATCTCTCGCCTACCTGCTCAAGCGATTGATTCTTGCCATTCCACATCTCATAACATATGTTGGAAAATCATTGATCATTCTCACTTCTCCATTGAAAGCCTCATAGCCCTCTGCATACCTCTGCATTGAGAGATCATCCTCACTTCCTCACCACTTCTCTCCTCCTCGCTCTTACACAATCAGAACAGAACAGCTCACATCACATCACATCATATCACAGTAAGTATCTGAAACACCGTCTCCAATCCACATTCTGCTCAGATGTACACGACACTGTCTCCCATCCACCCTGCCTGAAGCCTCACCCAAATCTCAACCCCCATCTGTGTGCCCCTTTTTTCCTCATTTCCATTGACCAAGACCTCTCGCTCAGTCACTTACTCTCGACTCACGCAGTCAATCGGTCCACCAACCCTTTCTCCTCGACACAAAACCGCAAACCGCGAACCGCAAAAATGTGCTACCGCCAACCAATCGAGTGGAAATGCCCCGACTGCGGCAAGAAGGCGCGCGAAAACTCGCTGGCGCACACCCATTGCCCCAACAGCGGCGCGTGTCAGAAGATCCAGCTCAAGCTGCGGCCCCAGATGAGGTTCACGCGTCGCCCGTGCGCAAAGTGTGAGCCTGAACTTCCAATGCGGATGCGGCGCGTCAGGAACAAGATCTCTCGTGGCGGAAACGTGGCGCAGGTCCTGGTGATGATGGATCCGTTTGATGGGGATGATGAGATGGGAGTCTTGACTGCCAATGCCACTGCCAATGGTCCAGAGCAGAAGCAGAAGTGCAACGAGGTCAAAGACAAAGTCTCAACGGTGCATGATGAGAAGTTGGTTTCCAAGACACACCACGCCGAGCAGCACACCGAAACAGCAGCACCTCAACACAAACAGGAAGAGCACGGAGTCGAGCATTGCGCCACTGCTACAATTCATCTTGGAGATGCAGTCATCGCAGGAAGCGAACGGAAGCTCGTCGTGTCATCCGTTGGTCGTGAGCGTCAGCGTGAGCACCGAGCACTCGAGTTCCGTCCCCGCCACTGCAACAAGATCTGCCGCCCTCGCCACGCCGTGCAGGAGCACCATGGTCTCCCACTCTCCGCACCATCCGCCGCCGTCCTCGACAACTGGTTCAGGATCGTTTGAGACCTGACCCGACTTGATAGATCATTGGGGGATCTAGATACATTGCATTGGCCAGACAGAGAGAAAGACCGGCAGACAGACAGATAAACAGACAGGTCATGAAAGCACCATGACAGATGGAAGGAGGGAGATAATCATCGCATCATTGAATACTCGATCGGGTGGATGGGGCCATTGGAAAATGTGTTTTACCGGAACAAAAGTTAGTGACAGAGCTGGATTGTCGAGAGAGACAGATGGAAGAATTCCAGCCTGGCCGGCTGGCTGGAGGTGGTCTCCCAGCATCTAAGAAGAATTTTTCTCACTTGGGTGGTGCAGGCTTGGTCACTGTGGACATGAGCCAGCTTCGAGGATAGAAACAAAGAACAAAAGGCGCGGTGCGGTTGGTATAAAGAGAGTGAGAGAGAGAAATAGAGCCTAACTTCAAACAAATGCTTCATTCAAATGCGAGCGAAAGGGGCGGAGTGAATTTCTCGGCATCTCGGCTTACATAATATTTTTCCCTATGCATATTGATTCCATCCAATCCATCAACGTCATTAGACTCTGCGTTTCAGCCTCATGTCCAAGCCACAACTTCCTTTGTAACCCCATATCTGACCATTACCTCTTTCTGTGGGAGAAATATTTCAGTCCCAGCTTAATTAAAAGGAGGACCCTGTCACCAGCCAGAACCTTTGACTTGCTGATTCGTTACCCGCCCATACTGACGTCCAGGGAAACGACATCGTCACTGGTCGTGAGTGAGGGATTCGACGGAAGACCAGTGACTCTAGAGAACCTCAAGCTGCTGTGAGAACTCATCTGATCTGACGGGGCGGTCTGTTGGGTTGCAGTTGAAGCGGCAGTTTTGGGTCTAGGCCCAGACGCCGTGAGCCAAAACCTGCGATAATCTGAGCTGTTGGAGGAGGTGCAGGATTGCGCCAGCGTCAATGAACCAGAATTCAGCAAAAATCTTTCCGATCCAGGTGAACGAGGAAATTCAGGCCATGCTGACGCTGTTTGCGGTGGAGGATGCCGGGGCTCTTCAGTCTCTGGCACCACGGTGGCGGGCAAGGGTAGAAGACCAGCGACCCTCAGACCAATTCGTTTGAGAGTGTTGTTGGGGATCAAACATGGCATGAATTGCCTCACATCGGACGTAGGGAAAAAATGTGCAACGACTGACTGGATTGTCCTCTTGTAGAATGCCGGGCTTTCCTCAATCTTTTGCCTCATGAGCCGAATCGCCTGGTGAAACAAAAACGAGGGAAGCGGCGTTGACGGCCACCACATAGTCTCCAAGGCCTCCACAAAGATTTCGGTCCACAACATGAATGGAAGAATGGCAACAGCGAGACCTTTCAAGTCACAGGGAAAGCCTTGATGATTTTCGCTCTCTGTGTGGTCCGGTCCAATGGAAAAGTTGGTCCTGTTGACTACACATTGCTCAAGAACTAAGCATGCCAGTACTTCAGCGTAACGGTATCCCTGGAGGACAGATAGCTGCTTGGAAGCCCATGGCAAATGTCGATCAAGCTGGTCCTGGGTTTCGTCTATATACGAGGACACCTTGTCCAGTGCGGTGTTTAGGCACCTGCGCGTGACATCGCACTTACAGAGGTGATCCATGATGGAGCCTTTCCAGGAATTCATGCAATAGTCTGGTGCCACTCCACACTCTTTGCCGAGATGATCCCGGCTCAGGACCAAGGCAGAAACTGCCCAATAAGCCTGTTCCTCGAACGACTCCAGAGGTTCAATGGTCTGGTCTCTGCCTCGCATGCAGACATGTTGACTTCGGGCGCGTTCGAGGTATTTCCAGGTTGTTGTGCCAGCCATAGACTGTCGGCCATAGCGAGAAAGGAGCATGCCCCGGACATCTCCAAGCATTGCTCGGGAAATTTGCATCTGAAGGGTCGTTTGGGCTAATCTCACGCAATTTATCGCACTGTGAACTACCTGTGGGTAAGTGGCGTTGGGCTTTCCATCATTTTCTCGAAAGTGGTAGTAAACGAGGAGATAAAGGTCGAATGCCTCAGTATATGCTCCGAGGAGAGAAAATACGGTTGCAATGGTGTTCATCTTGGCGCCACGCTCTGTTTCGTCCTTATTCTCCGCTATGATGGTCGAGTACAACTCGAACGCGATTCTTCTCAATCGATACATGCAGGGCATTGATGTGGAGGTCTTTACCTTGCTACACCGAGCTGAAAGACTCTGTCTTCCACATTCCATACCTTCAGTATCTGGGTTCATGGACACGGGCTGGATTTGTATATTCTCAATTGCGTACTCTCCAGGTACGTCCGTGCAATCGCAGTGTTCCTGTTCGCGATCGGCCGTGAATATATCCTCAAAGTGTAACTCGGAACAATTTGAAGAGTGGAATGTGATTTTCAGGCACCTCAAGCCGTGAGATTCTTCCAATCCTGACTCAGATCCCCGTATATCTGGGCAAGGGAGGTTACACATCAACGTAGTGCTGTTGTGCTGTGGTGGTGGTGCCGTGGAAGCTGATGTTACGTCCCTATTCGGGACTTCCCTGGCCGATGTGAAATCTTTCTTCTTATAAAAACAGATATCATGTTCCTTCAAGAGCCCGTCAAGTTGTGCGAGAGAGACAGGTCTCCCAATCAAAGCCTGAACCTCAAGTTGCATCTCGGTTCGAGTGGATCCTGTCTCTTGCAAAAGCCGCAATCTCGGCCCAAGCATGAGCCTATCCGCCTTGGACAGTCTTGCATTGTAACGTGAAGTAATTGGGTCCTCGCTGATGAACTTCGAGTAGGGCTGATTACATAGGGATAAGTGAGCCATAGTTGACCGATGTAGAAATCAATGACCATAGATCTCCAGACTGTTCGACTGTCTGGTGAGTACGTCCCACTCAGTAGAGCAAGATCAGAAAGTGGTGAGAAGAAAATGGTTCGAAGAGGCCTTGATGAAGCAATTTGAAGTGCCAGCGCGTGCCGAGAAGCTTCGACTGGGACCCAATTGCAGGAATCATGAATTCCAGATCCAGACTAGCGTTGGATCTGTGGAATACAATTGGCCAATAAGAAGCAGACCCCTGGTGACACCGTCGGCGCCTCTTTCCTACTTCCGAGCGCCTTCCCCAGACTGGCAAACACGACGAGACAATGCCATGTCAAGGGGCTTTGAATGATCATATTAACCCAGGAAAAGGATAGCATCGGGCACCTCATGGCTATGGTTGAATCACAGGACCAAGACAGCGATGGCGATTATGCGAGGGACTGTGACTAGGCGAAAGCGCACCGAATCAGGGCTGAAGATTTTGATCCACAAGGATTCATTTGAGAAGGAACCGTCCAATCTGCTTGCTTGTAGCCATTTTTCATTGGCATGCTCTGGCTTTGCACCTTCCGTGACAGACTGTCAAATGACGCTTTCTTTCCTGCCACTAGAGAGCACACACACTTCTTCGACAGCCCCTGCTGAACTTCGCGCGGATTTGGAGTCAAGCATGAACTCATTGATATCCTCCAGATGGCAGCCTGGCTCTGCAGGGTTGTAGAGCTACAGACTATCCATTTCGATGTCTCACATGTTTCATTCATGAGACAACCAACATTGGTCCCTGTTGGTCGTGTTCATCGCGTGCTGCCAGCAGAAGAAGACTTTGTCAACAAGTCAGAAAGCAATTCCTACACCGGTGCTGTTAGATAAATCTCCCGAAACGCCGCTGTCGAATGCCCACAGTCACTGCTTACCTCCATCGACAATCAGGGCTTGGCCGGTGATGTTGCGCGAACCCGGTCCGGCCAGGAAGCTCACCAAGGCGGCGATATCGTCAGGGACCTATTGATAGTCAGCAGACCGTGGATGAACAAGATGATCGAGGATCAGATGCACCGAGGGTCTCTTCAGCGCGCATCGAGCTTCGACTGATCTCGCAAACGCTTCACCCTTAGCGAGTCCCTGTTCTTTGCCCATGACTTCATCAATCTGCTCCCACATCTATCAACAATTCAACGTCAGAGCTGGGGTTATGTGATTCATGAAGAAGGTGGAGGACCAAGACTCACTGGGGTGTCCACTGGGCCGGGACAATAGGCTTTGGGTCAACATCAGCGAGAAACGTTCCAGCGGAGAAGACGAGACGTGAATCCAAACCATTGACCTATGATGGTCGGTCAGCCAAGGTCGAGTCGGACAGATACCTATGCTGACGACTCTTACATTGATATCATATTCCGCCAAGTCGTAGGCCATACTCTGAGTCAATCCACGCACGGCCCATTTACTGGCTGCATACGGGGTTGAACCGTGTGACTGTTGAAAATGACGGTTGAGTACATCAGAGACACTGTCACGAGAGCCGGAATTGCCGCATTTCTTTGTAGTTCTTTTACTCACCGGCCGATGGGCCGCTAGGGAAGCGGCGCCGATAATCCGGCCCCCTGTGCCTTGTGCAATCATTTGTCGGGCTGGCTTAATCGTTAGACGACGATAGGGATGACAGGATCAGAGATGAAGCTATACCGGCTTCCCGATAGCAGATAAATGTTCCTTTCACATTGACCTAGTCGGTTTGGGAGATTCCATCTAGCGCGGGTTTCTTTCAGACAGGGCAGGATTAGTTATGCTCACGTTGAGAATGAGACTGAAGTCATCCAAGTCAGTGTCCATCATTGACTTGGGGATGATGATCCCGGCGTTGGCAACCATGGTCTAGGGTGAAATGAACGACTCAGCAACCGAGAATATGATGTTTGTGGGGCGTGACCTGTACAGACCGTAAGGGGTCCCAGAGAGTCGACCGTCTCTTTCACCATCTGTCGGACTTGACTTTCATTGGTGATATCGGTGACGAAGCAGAGACATTTTCGCCCTGGAGCCCACCAGCGATCAACCACGAGCTCGAAGATGATGCTGAGAGTGCCATATAGATTGGCCTGACCCTCAGATCGTCAGGGTTTGGGTTTACACACCTTTCTGCTCGATCTCTTCCCGGACCTTTTCGAGAAGCGGAGCTTGCTTTTCGAGGTCATTGATCTGCCACAGAGTAAGTCAGTTTGCATCTTTTTGGAAACTATTCGGCCGCCACTGGGGGAAGACAGAACCGCAACGTCCATGCCATCCTCGGCAAGTCGGAGAGCAATGGCCCTCCCAATCCCCCTCGAAGCGCCGGTGACAATAGCGACGGGCATGATTTACTCGCAGACAAGGGGCGGTCTAGTCAAAGCAAGCAGCAATAGGGGTCCAACCGAACCGGAATCGTGCCTACCTTTTCACCAGCAGTAGTGAGGATGACCTCTGGCTGCTGAAATAATGTTCTTGATGTTTGCACCACTGAGGTCTGGACTTCTGATGGTGGAGACTAGGTTTGTTGTATTCAGCCGCGGGGGCACAAATCAACGAATCGGAACTATACGAACTGTGCGAGTGCAGAAAAGTCCCGTTTTGCCGTGGACCGTCTGGGTAATTATTACTTCGGTTCCTTCATCGGTCAGTCCAACCGACGAGTATCGATGGATTTGCACCACGGCAGGGCCGCTGCCCCTCGGAGGGGCCGATGGTGATTCTCTAAAGGCTGAGCCAGCGTCAACATCGCCGCGTCTTTACATATTCCTTTCCTCGCCATGTCAAACTTGTCTTTCAACAATTCATCAGGTGTTCAAACGGTCGTCTCCGAGTCCTCGGCAGCGGCAGTCTGATAAACCACCAGAAAATGTCGGATATCAATGAACAGCAGACCCCATCTGGAGACAAGCTGGAACTCGGGCGACAGATGGTGCGGAAGTTTGCGGGGGACAAGCATGTGGACGCCGTCGCAGCTACCATGGTCCGTTTAAAAAATTCTGTTCTTCCCACCAACGCCTGAAAAAGAATTGCTGCTAATCTCGGATGGTGATTGTCACACAGAAAAAGGACCACTTCTCCAAAGTCAGCGAGGAGTTCATCTCGGAAGTGTGTTGGTCTGGCTACGCGAGACCGGGGCTCGACTTCAAAGAGCGCGCCTTGATGAACATCGCCATGTTGACGGCGTTGGGGAGAGCTCCCGAGTTGCGCATCCACATCCGCTGCGCCGTCTACAATGGTTTCACCGAGGAAAAGGTCGCCGAGGCTTGTCGACATGCCATGGTCTACTGCGGCGTTCCTGCTGGCCGAGATGCTCTCATCATGCGAGCGAGGTTTGACGAGCTGAGGAAGCGGGCGACTATCCGATAAAAAGGGACAAGCCAACAAGGGGTGATGATCTAGTTTTTTGGGGGGGGGGGGGGGCATGATATCAAGTCATTATGTTGAGTCGAAACGACTGAGTGCGAGTCACCGTTATTGAAACTGCTGCTGTTCTCCTTGACAACAAAAGATTGTAAAGATTCGGCCCAGATTCATCGTTCTCAAACGTGAACCTGGACTTTATTTCAAGACCCTACTGCTGCGACACGCTTGCTACGCAAAGCCCATCGAATTCAGCGGCCATAGACGACGGCTTATCACCAAGTTAGTTAGGAAAGGCGATCCGCGGAGCGTGGAAAGAACAATTAATTATTTCAGTGTGACCGTTGTACTCGTTCAACCAAAGAGCAGACGAGACAAAAGAGAGTTTTCTTCATCAATGATGATATATTGCTGCAGGAAAGATCACAACCGTCGGCGTAAATCAAGCCTAGTTTCATCCTCGGTCTGCCTTCAGAAGCCCTGACATTTTCAGCCTGGCCGATGCCACCCACCATCGAGCCCTATGTCCACTACACCCAGCATTCCACACCTCTCCCCATGTTGGAAAATGGCATCTTTCAACGGACGAGCCTCGTCAGAGTCACTCAGAGCGGATATCTCCAGTCCGGGTGATAATCACAGAGGGTCTCAAAATCGCCAATGTCGTCGGGAAGCGGCGGTGCGGTCCCGTCGAGGCGCGCCTGGGCCGCGCGGTCACGCTTGCGGTTCTCGGTTCTCAGCCAAAAATACAGAATGGCCGTCGAGGCGAAGGCGACGGCAAAGATACCCAGCAAGATACCGTTGCCTTTGTAGAACTTGGGTGGGGTGTCGAAGACCTGGGTGGACATGATGATGAAGCTGTTGATGAAGACCTGCTGGATCCCGTAAACCGTGCTCCTCTTGGTGTAGCCGCCGTGAATCGTGCTAATCCAGGCGACGGCGATGGGGTTGCCCGAGTATGTGCCCGCAGCGACAAAACAGGTGCCCACGATGGACACGGTCGCACTGTTCGAGGCCAAGATGATGATGACACCGGCGAGGCAGCAACCGAGACAGGCCGCCATGGCGATGCCCCGCTGTTGGTAGCGGTCGGACAGCCAGCACGACACGGGCATCGACACCACTGCAAAGCTGTAGGGAATAATGGTGTAGAGCTGGGATGTGAGCCGGTCGAAACCAAACGCATTGATGAAGGTCGGCAGGAAGACGGCGAATGCAGCCGCGCTCAGCCCGACAGCCGAGAGCATCAGAGAACCTAGATATGTCTTTGGATCTGTGACCGCCATCCAAATCTGGCGAGGCACCACCTTTTCGCCGGCTGTGTTCTGGCCTATGAGATGTTCGGGTCAGCCGCTTGTCATCAGGGCAGAACAGAGGCGCCCACGAAGGGGTTGAAAATAAAAAATGAAGCAAGAACTTACTGGCCCGGATTCGCGCCAGGAGAAGTTCATTCTCGGAGCGTTCGAACAAGAAATGTCCGTCTTCAACCACCTTGTCTGGATAGCCGGGCAAGATAATCATGATGGCGAGCCCAACAGCGATGGTGGGAGCACCCTCAACGATAAACAACCATTTCCAAGAGGCAATGCCGCGGGCATCGCCAATGTTCTTCTGGACACCGTATGCGATCAGTCCCCCGGCGAAACTGGCGATGCTGGTCGACCAGTAGATCAAACCTGCCCCGACGAGTTTCAGCGGATTGGTCGAATTTTCGAACTCAACAGTTCACTTACAACCTCTCAGCGCCAATTCGTCATGCTTGTACCACATGCTAATATACAAGAACGACAGAGGCACGATGGCCTCTCCAAAACCCAGAAGCAGACGAAGGCCGATTAGGTCGGCGAAGTTTCGCGACACCGAGAACAGAGCGGCGACGAGGCCGAACATGGTGATGGAACCGCCGAGGACCCAGCGAGGGGCGAGAATCTTCATCAGGAGGGCCCCAGGCGTCTGAAGGACGAGAAAGCCAATGTCTAGGAAAAGGGGGCGGAGGCAGCCGAGTTAGTCTTTCATCTGGATTTTCTTCGAATATGTCCGGACCAGGCATCATCCTGACTCACAAGTCACCATGAGGATCTGAAAATACTGGTGGTCGCTCAGTTTGAGGTCCTTCTGAATTCCCATGAGGCGTGCATTGCCGATATTGCTTCGATCCTTTGACAAAAGTCAGACCCAGGTACACGAACAAGGGGAGGATGGCATCGAGTCAATACCAAAACACCCATCATGTAGCCGAGACCGAGAAGAGGAAGAATGGTCAGATCCTGTTTGCGGACGAGTTTTCTCTCGGCCTTCCGGTTGATAGAGGGAGCAGTCTCATCGACGGTGCCGTCGTCGAGTTTGCCGATCGCTCGATAAGGGTCGGGCTGGACATTCTCTTCATACACTTCCGAAGACAATTTCTCTTTCTCGACTACCATCTCGTGGGCGGCGGGCATCTTTTCACTGCTGAGCGGAGGGAGGAGGAGCGTTGACGTGGTCTACCAGATGTACGGGATCTGATCGTCAAGAAGGAGCAGACATGCGTCTTTTTTTATACGTTGACTGCTGGTAACTCTCAAATATTCCACATCTTCCTCCATCGAGTCACCTTCTCCCCAAAAGCGGAGAGAATCTGGGGCAGCCAGACCGGGGTTTGTCAACCATGCACGATGAAAATTCCATGTTGGAACCAAGGGTCCACAGCCTTCCGCGGGCCGAATTTGAAGTTTAATGGGAGCCGCCCACATCGACTATTATCCGGGGATGAATGGCGGTGGGGATGACCCGCTATTGACCCACTATGGCTAGCTTCTTTCTCGGTCCAAGTCCCGGTCGAGGAGACTTGCACGACTTGGGTTTCTGGTGTCTGGGGGTCTATCCCCACGGATGAGTGCCAGAAAACCCGAGGGCCCAGGGCGAGCATTCAATGGCAAGAATAATCAGGACGTGTTGGAGCCCTACTAGATATCGTCGTGAGCGATCTGATTGACTGATTGACTACCATAGTGTCCCGAGGATATTTGGACTCACAAGCATCGCAGCAAAAGTCGAGACAATTTTCCAGGCCTTCCAGCCAAAATTTTGTTTATCAAACAATTAACAACTCTGTCATGGCGGATGCTCTCTGGTCGAAAGCACAGGATTTGTACAGCATACTTGGATCCTCAAAACAGGGACCTTCCCCCACATATACGAACAGTCGGACTACTCCTCAGCCACGGCCGAGCCTCTTGATATGGGGGATCACGGCGTCAACGGAACTTATGGCAGCAACGGCGACAGCCATTCCAGTGTCGACGCTACCGAGTCTTTGATCGGTGAGCTGCCGGCATGGACACCCCGCAGAAAGATCAAGGTCATCACCGTCGGAGCGGGCTTCTCAGGCCTCATGTTCGCCCACAAGCTGCAGCACCAATACCCAGAAGTGGGACAGATGGTTGATCACAGCATCTTTGAAGCGAGACACGACGTCGGGGGAACATGGCTGGTCAATACATATCCCGGTGTCCAGTGCGACGTGCCGGCCCATATATACGTGTGTGATTGCCCGTCTGTCTCCTCCGTTTTGAGATGGGCGTATCCCAATGATTGCTGACCATGCATCTCCCTACCCGTCCACCTCTAGGCATTCCCATTCGACCCCAAGCCGGATTGGGACAATTTCTATGCCTCAGGCGCCGAGATCGAAGCATACATCCGCGCCACCGTCAAGAAATGGAACCTGGATCGCGACGTGAGGCTCAACCACCGCGTCACCGAAGCCATCTGGCAGCAGGAAACGGGCCGGTGGAAAGTGACAGTGGAGAAACCCGGCGGCGAAACCTCGACAGAATACGCCGACGTCCTGGTGTCAGGTCAAGGTGTGCTCAACAAGTGGCGGTGGCCCGACATCCCCGGACTGGAGCGGTTCCAAGGTTTCAAGTGCCATTCAGCCGCGTGGGATGCTGACTACGACTATTCCAACAAGAGGATCGCCGTCATTGGCAACGGCTCCTCGGGAGTCCAGATAGTGCCCCAGTTGGCCAAACTCCCCGGGACCCAGATCACGGCTGTTCAACGGAGTGCCAACTACGTCTACATGCCCCTGCCGCCGTCAACACTGCTGGGCAGGGAGGGAGATAACCGAGCCAACCCGCCCTTTACCGAAGAGGACAAGGAACGCTTCAGGAAAGACCCGGTCTTTCACCGTGCGTACCGCCGCAAGATCGTCCACCACATCAACAGCGCGTTCAGGATGTACATCAAGGGCTCGGCCGCGAACCAGGCCGCGACCGAGATGGCCCGCAACCAGATGGCCACCAAGCTCCAGCACGACCCCGAGCTGTGTGCCAAGCTGATCCCGTCGTGGCCCTTGGGGTGCAAGCGCATCACGCCGGCCGACGGGTTTCTCGAGTCCCTTCTTCGTCCCAACGTCGACCTGGTCAGCAGCCCCGTGACTGCTGTGACGGAGGACTCGATCGTGACCGCGGACGGGCGAGCCTTCCAGGTGGACGTGATTGTGTGCGCCACGGGATTCGACGTCTCGTTCCGGCCGCAGTGGCGCATGATCGGCCGCGACGGTGTCGACCTGGGCCAGCAGTGGGCCGGGGACGGTGTGCGGTCGTATCTCTCCGTCGCGGCCAAGGACATGCCGAACTTCTTCATGTTTCTCGGCCCCAACGCCGTCATCGCCCACGGCTCGCTGCTGGAAGCCATCAACTGGACCGGCGACTACATCACCCGGTGGATCCGGAAGATGGCCACCGAAGACATCAAGGCCGTCGTCCCCAAGGGCGCCTGCGTCGACGACCTGGTCCGCTACGGCGACCGCGTCCACGAAACCCTCGTCTGGTCCGCGGGCTGTTCGAGTTGGTTCAAGCGCAACACGGTCGACGGGAGGGTCACGGCGGCCTTTGGTGGAAGCGCCTTGCTCTTCAAGCGCTTGATCTCCGAGATCCGAGCCGAAGATTTCGACATCGAGTACCGAGACCCCAACCGGTGGTCTTTCTTGGGCAGTGGCTTTACCGACTATGAGCTGGACCCCGGGAACTGCTTGTCATGGTACATTGAACGCTAGGCTTGGCCCTTTGGAGCAAAAGCGTGGGACAGGTAGACTTGGACTAGTTAATGTTGTCTCGACTGGAGGAAAACATGAGGGATATTCTATAGAGTCCTAGATACATATATACATATATATATATACCTTTGGGGAATGATTATAGGGGGTTAAATAGCGCGAGTTGAAGAGCCTTCGGCCGAACAATCCTCCCGTGACGGGTCATTGTATTGCCCATTTGGTAACCCTTCCAGTCATATATACATGCCTAGGTAGTGACATAGACCAGAGCACTTCACGTACCCGGCGAGGGCTGCGCCATGTCCCAAGCCCGGGGCATGCTTACCCACATGTCGGTCAAGTCGGAGAAGTCCAGGTTGAACAGGTCGTCGTCCGGTAGTCTGAAGGCTGGTCCGGCCAATACCGTGTCTTCGTAGTCGGGAAACCCAACCCCCAACCTCTGACGCGTTTCTGCCTCCAAGTCGTAATGGTTGGGTCTGTTCCAGTCTCGAGTGGTAGGAGAAGCTTCGCGGGCGGCGGCACCGGTCGACTTTGTGGTGGTGTTGGACGCCGTGGCGACGACCGTGGCGACGTGCTGCGTCGGATTCGGCATCCTTCTCCCCAACGAGCCACCACCCGTCCCCGCGGCTGACGCCCTGGGTGGCAGCATCTGTCGCCGCTTGAAGAGACGGCTGACGTGGGATGCGGCAAAGGTCAAGAACCCGATCGCCCACTCGGCGGCGACGTTGATTTCCACGAGTTCCCTCAGCGCGAGCTTGCATTCCTCAAACCGTCGAGCCCCTTCCCTGCGGACCTCGGCGCTCGGAGACTGCAAATCAAAGACGTGACTCCAGCTGACGGTGAGGATGCACGAGATGCAAGTCCCAGGCAGCCGGCGCACCAGGTCGACCTGGTACATGTCCATGACGATCTTGTTGAGATTCGCGGCGGCCGCGCGCATTGATTTTTGGGACGCTCGCGTCTGGTTGGGGTGGGCCCCTAGGCTGCTGGCGCCGTCCGCCAGGGCCCGCGGCCGGTGGAGGCAGAATTGCGCTACGAGATACAGCATCGCCAGGAGGGCACGGTGGATGATGACCGCTTGCTCCGTGGAAGAGGCCGTCATCGGAACGGGAGACTGGTGCAGTAGATGGTCCGGCACCTGATCGCGCCACTTCTGCAACTCCTGTTCGCACATCTCGAGCTTTTCGAGACCGTTCTCGATAGGGAGGGTTTGACTCGACGCCTCGTCCACGGGATTGTTGTCCTGTTTGGGGTAAAGAATGCCAACGTGACCGATGGGATTTTCCGCGTAGAACAGGTCCACGATGACGCTCAGGATCCGGCAGAGCTTGGTCGAAGCAATGCATATCGAACTAAGCTTTGTTCCCATTTGATCGACATGGCTCAGCGGCCGATTCGCATCCAAGGACCCGTCAGATCCCTGCAGGTCCTCCAAGGTGAGTGGAGCCACGACGAAGTCGTTGGACCGGATTCTGGGTGCCCGATTACACCCCAGAGAAGTGATGGCATCGCGAATCAGACAGCACCACCAGATGCGTCGCCGGAGCCGCCGGACAGGGGCGGGCAGACCTTCACTGTGGGCATCTCGGTGCAGACCAATGGATTTCGCCACGGCCAGCGCTACGCTGCACCAGTAGTAGCCGTCTTTTTGTTCAGTGGGCGTCACCCACCAGGTGGTAAGAAGAGTGAGGGATTGAACGATGGCGAGGCGATCACGCTCGTAGTTGAAGTCGTACAGTAACTATACCCCTCATAAGTAACTTTCCGAGTACCAAGGGCAGAGGGAGGATGAGGCACACAAACCTTCGTCTTGTTGTAGTATGCTCGTCGCATCGCATCGCGGGTGAGGAACCCAGCACGCCGTACCAGCTTCACATCGGCCCAGGCGGTGGCGGAGAACATGATGGCCTGCAGCAGCAGCAGGCTGATGGTTCCATGTCGCGCCGGGTTTCTGATGCTGGCCTGGAACGAATCCCGGTCGACGAGGGGGAGGGAGTCGTGGACGAGTTCAAAGTAGTTCTTGAGCAAGTCACTTTGCAGTTCGGGATCCGGCAACGTCAAGGCACCCTTCCGGCGTAGATAGACCAAATCTTCAAAGGGACAGTCCGACGAAAATGGCCGGACGTAGGGTGGAAGTTCTTGATCAACATCATCATCATCATTCGACGTGGCTGTTGCATATAACGGGTCCACAGGGGCATTTAAGCGAGGAAGTGTCGTGTTGTTACTCGGCGATATGGGAGACGTCAGACTCTGCGTGGCTGCTCCATACCAGTCGAAATGGCGATCTGGGGCGACAGTCTCCTGAGCCTCCCACGATTCGAAGGGTGAGTTGCTATCAAGAGCGTCGCAAGGTTGTTGTACCGCCAAAGAGACGTGAGACTCGTTGGCCTGAGGAGCAGCCTTGATCGGGAGCCAGGATCCGGACCAGGAGTTCGCTGGCTCTTGCTCGGGCTCGGGCTCAGGCTCGGGCAAGGGCTCCGGCACTGGCTCGCTTGGTTCGACCGATTGATGAGGACCGGTGTGGGAGGTGACCCAGGAAGCCACTGATCGGGTTTGGCCTTTAGGTCTGCCTCGCGGTCGCCGTCGGGGTATGACACACTCGACCCGATCCAGGACGCAGTTGTAGCATGGTTTGACGCCATCTGCGCTGCACCTCACTTTGCGGAAGCGACAGTAATTGCAGGCCACACTCGCGCGATGTTTTCTCATTGAAGACCGGTCGTGGATTCTTTGGGCATCCAGGTCACCAAGTGAGGTCGCTGGTGCTTCCGGGCCAGGGAAGCCGTTCGCTTCATCGTCTTCCATCTCGTTGTCGTCGTGTTCGTCGTTGTGTCTGGGAAAGGGGGGGAAGCATTCACGGATGGGAAGGTGGTGGTCAACATTAACACAAATGGGCTTACGACCACGAGGTACATGGGGAGGATTTCCCAAGCCATCCGCCCGAGTGGAAGTAAGAAGCAAGTTTGATACGGCGAGAAAAGGGACCGCCACCCCCGCTCCCTACTTCCCTCCACCGTCCTCCCCTGGGGGTTCCCACGCTTTAGAACTTGGTCTTAGGGTCCCAGTGGAGTTGCCAGCATGTGGCTGGAGAGGGAGACAACCAACGGTTGGAGGGGACCGAGTAACGCTACTAATTCGTGGTGTGCTATCCTTCCAGCTCGAGGTTGTCTTCGCAGTACACTACGACTCTTGAAAGGAACCTCGAATCGGATCATTTGTTTGTCCAAGTGGTAACTTAAGGTTGATTCTTCGGACCTCGGATAAATGCCCAGGGAGATTTATCAACCACTCACTGGGGGCCAGGGCGGAGAAGGGCTGCTTGGCACATTGGTAAGAATCCTGTCTCATCCGAGTAACTGTTTTGTCAGGGTATTCATGGTCATGGAGTTAAGGAGTTACCAAATGGACAGAGCCAAGTTTGCCAGTGTCGGGGCTTTGACTTGCTCCCGCTTAGAGCCTCGTCTTTCATCTTCCACCGAACGAAGACGAAGTCACCAACTGTCACCCCACTGAGACTTGTGTGCTTCCCAGTTGCTTGTTGTTAATGATTTTCACCGTCAGTATCGAACCCGCCCTCTCTTTTGCTGACATAAGAGATATTAGCTGGTGCCGCTATACCTAATCAGTAACGGTCTACTTTCTAATCTGAGCATGACTCAGCGACGATCCGTGTCACACTATTCCCAATACCCTGTGAATACCAGAAAAGCAGACTAGTACCTAGGTAATAAACTACCTAAACGCTGTGGTTAGCAGCCTGCCGGCCTGCCTAATTTGAGGATATGTGGATGCTCCATTTTCAATCATATGCTGGATCGGTGTATGCTGTGATGCTGAGAGATTGGGCGCCATATGAGGAGGCTACTCTATCATCGCCTTTGGTACTCTGTAATTCCCATATCGGGTTGGTCAAGGACACAATTTCCCGAAAGGGCATATAAGGCAACTGTTTACTCAAACAGTTCCTCTGTCCAGCCACACTTGAGGCCCCTCAGCGCCACTTCAGACGTGGATGAGGGGTCAACCACCGCGAAACCCTTTCCTCTGCAAGCTGGACGAACAATTTCCATGTTCTTAGACGACTGGTGATTTCTGCAGATTTCGAATCTTGGACCGATGGAATCCATGGATAAGTTCACACTGTATTTACTTCCTTACACGACTTAGGAGCGTTGACTGAGTGCTTACTCGTGCCTAGGTTATTACTCAGTAACTGCGTCACGATCCGCGCGGGAGAAGACGATAGCAAATTCACCGTTCACGAAGCCCTTCTTTCAAAGTCTGGCTCGCCGTCGCTTCAGAAACTAGTGGAGCCAGGCTGGAAGGAATCATCAGAAGGATGCATTGACTGGAGGCACACAAGTTCCCAGACCGTTGAACGGGTCCTGACTTGGCTTTATCTTCGTGACTACCATAGCCCAGATCCTGTACCTCGAGAAATTGGAATAGAGCCAGATGAGACACCCAGCCGAAGACATGTTTCAGAAGCAGGAGTGGACAGTCAACCAGGGACACAGACGGGTGAAGGCATTGACGAAACGGAAGTCGAGTTCAACGATCCGCCACTTGACGTAGCGGACGAGCCAGCGCCAGAGCCAGTGGCAGAAGTCCTTGATCCAGCGGACGAGCCAGAGCCAGTGGCAGATGTCGTTCTGGAAGAGCCACAGCCTGAAGTGGAACCTGCAGAACCTGCAGAACCCGACCTTCTCGAAGCCGAGAATTCAGAACTCCAAAACGCGATATTCGAGTCATGTAGCATTCGTCCATTGACTCCACTGGGCAAGTGTATTGGAGTCCCGCCCGTTACGACTGCACATAAAACTGCCGCTGGAAGGTTTGAGGGTCTGGAATTTCCTCACAAGTATTTCTCCTATGGGGAACCATTGCTCGCCCATTTGGAAGTATACAGTTTCGCAAAGTATCACCTGCTCTCTGAGCTGCAGGAACTCGCCCTCCAGCGATCAATCGTCACGCTGAGGAAAATGGATTGCACGGTGGAGCTTGCCGAGCAGGAAGTCTCAAAAGCCGTTGAATTCGTCTATGCCAATATTCCCGCCGATCGAGGCAACGAAGAACCTATGAGGAAGCTCTTGTCGCAGTTTGCAGCTATGAATTACACCTCCCTCTTGCACGGCAGCTTCGAGGCGCTTATTGCTCGTGGCGGTGATTTCGCACTTGATCTAGCACGAAAACTATCGCGTCGCCTTCTTGCGCACGGAGTCTCAGATGAATTGGTGCAAGACGAGCTAGAAGATCGCATACAAAATCTCGAGGCCCAGCTGCAGGAGCGCGATCGAGAAATCCGGAAACTGAATGAAAGTCTAAACGAGGTATTAGTATGGGGCCGTGGTATCAGCAAGAAAGGAAAGCGGCGCTGAAGGGGCTGCTTCAATGGCATCTATGACTGTATGACTTTGTTTCTTTTCTTTCGGTACCGTTATCTACGAGGGTAGCTCTCGTCCGTTCATTGTCATCCTCTCTACCTCTTCTCCAAATATACTGCTTCCAAGACTTCATCTTTTACAACTGTGCATGACTGTGCATGAGTCGGCAATCAGACCCAGCGCGGGCCTTTCGATACCGCATCGTACGAACAAGTAGTCTTTACAACTATCTTACCAACCTTCGTAAAACTGGAGCTCGTGAGCGATGTTGATCATTGGGTAGAAGATTAGGGCAATCCATTTTACATGTTTGGCTAGAGATGTCCCACGTATTCCTTAGCTTCTTAAGCTTCTTACAGAAGAAAGCGGCAGGGCGGTTTCGGGAACGACTGTCTCTATTTTCGTCCATCACCTTGCACAAGCGGTCGAACGGATTCGGGCTCATGGACTGGAAACAAATCCAAGCCTCCAACATTTTCAAGTATTCATATAATGCTTCGACCGCGTGTCCTGTGTCCCCTCAAGGTGGCGCATTTATTCGCCTGCCGCATTAAACGCGCTTCCACCGCTTTGCGCATCAACTGCGACCTTGAAATCTCTCACAAAGTCCCAAAGCATCTTGCTCTTCCATCCCTTCCGTTTCCATTGGTTAGCTTTGAGGGGAAAGAGTTCTGCGTACCGCTCTACAGCCTTGGAATGGGCATAGATGAACAAGACGTTGTCGTCTGCGTCGGCCTCTTGGGCCTTGACGATCGTCCGGACTGTCTCCTCTGCATCGTAACAGAATTCCGGATTCGGTATGAAGAAGGGCTCGAACTCGGCTCGAGACCGACTTTTGTTGAGTCGCGCGAGCTCCGAGCCCGGGCAGATCCAGGGCGAGACTTGATCTGGAAACTCCACGTGGATTTCTTTCGGCAGGCTGAGGTGCCTGGACGGACGGATCTCCCCGCCGTGGTGACAAAGGTCGCCGCCGCAAAAGATAAACGTGTCCGGATCCGAGGTCGTCCGCACCAAGCCTGCAAGGTGCCCGACCGTGTGGCCCGGCGCGTCGAGGAGATAGAATGAACCATCGCCGAAAAAGTCCATTGCCTTGAACTGTCCGATCTGAAGTGGAGGACCCTCGTCGAAGTTGATCTCCCTGGTCTCGCGGCCTCTGTCGAAGTGGAACCGACAATGATTAGCCCAATGTGACCATGAGAATGCCAGGAAGGGAAGAAACACGGACGCAAAATCACTTCCCCGGACAGGAGAATCTTTGATCGTCGGATACCCGGGATAGAATGTCTGCTTGAAACCGGGCCCAACGACAAGCTCTGTCGACCCAGGGAAGGTGGAAGGATCTCCGATGTGATCGAAATGCCAGTGGCTAAGAGAACGGATCAGGCACAGCCGGACATGTTGAAGGCTCTCCTGGAGGCACGAACTCACCTCCAAACAATCGAATTGATCCGAGCAGGATCAATCTGGTTCTCCTTGAGAATGTCCGCTACGTGTTTCTCGGAGCGAATCTCCCACGCCGGGTTTCTCAGTTGGTCCTGGTTAAAGGGCGAGAAGTCGAGAAAGTTGGGTGGCACCCCGAGGTCGAAGAGTGCCTTTTTTCCCGTCGTCGGGCTCTCGATGAGAAAGGACCACGTGGGGATATCTGGCATGTATTGCATGCCTTGGAGAGGTGGGTGTAACAAGAAACTTGCCGGCAATCTAATGATCCTTGAAGTGCAGTCGATGATGCGTACGTCTGCCACAGCACCAGATGGCGCGTTGAAGATCTTGCTTACCCCTGACGAGGCCATAACTTTGTTTGCTTAAAAGACAGACTTAGCAAAGCACGATTTTCCGGATGATCATTCGACGTCCAGGCTGTAGGGAGAAGCGCAGAGGCTGTAACCTCGTTTTCCACTTGCGAGCCTCCGCAATTTACCGCAGAGAGAGATGTAAGATGGTAAAGAAATGGGAGCGACAGAGGTCTCTGCTAGCCGGACGAAAAGATATAGATTCGAGATTGTGTGGGCCATCTCGGGCTGCCCTTGAGAGGCCCAAAACCATCTAGCGTTGTTAGGCATGCGGCATACGATAACAAATAAAGGTTCAGAATATTATATCGCCGAGGTCATTAATCGAGCTTCCGGGCCAAGGAATAAGGAGAGTTTTCTGAATGGCCATACAAAGAACATGTCTCGTTACCCGTCTCCATTGTCCAGTGTCAGACTTTCCTGAATTCATCCCCCATGCATCTCCGAGGCGAGGGAATTCCGCTTCTTCACTTGCTATATCGTCGAGATTGACTTCGACTCGCCACCGTTGATCTAGTCTCTGTTTCTCAAAACGAGACTGGATTTTCCGTAGCCGTGAGATTTGGAGTATCGTTTCTACTCGAGCACACAGGAGCAAGAGATTGACTCGGAAAAGACAAAGAAAAAGAAGAAAACCTGGTACATTGATTGCTCTGATGTTGTCACAGACCGTCTACCGCGTAACCTCGCAGACAGGCATTGATGGTCTAGAGTCCTTTCAAGAACCCGTGCCAACAGCTGGCAAGCATGAAATCCTGGTCAAAGTGCTAAGTGTGGCTTTGAACTTCCGAGACATCGCCATCATCAACGGCACATATCCGGTGGCGGTCAAGGAGAATGTCGTCCCCTGCTCGGACATGGCTGGTGAGGTGGTACAAGTTGGTGAGGGGGTGGTGAGTTTCACCGAGGGCGAATTGGTCACGGCACCCGTGAGCCTCGACACAGTGTATGGACCAGTCAGGGACGGTGCCAGCTCTCTCGGTGGCACAGAGGATGGCGTCCTTCGCCAATACTTGACGCTGCCGGCGAGCTCAGCCATCAGGCTGCCCAAGTCCAACCTGGGGCCCAATGAATGGGCAGCCACGGTGACCACTGGCTATACCGTGTGGAACGCCTTCTACGGTTCCACGCCTCTCAGGCCCGGCGACACGGTCCTGGCGTTGGGTAAGCGGATAGGCCACGCAAGTCCAAGAAGGGGGCTCTCGGCCCGCTAACATATGTACAATAGGCACAGGAGGCGTCTCCGTCCTCGCCGTTATCATCGCCAAAGCCGCTGGGGCAACGACGATAATAACCTCATCGAGTGACGACAAGTTGGAGCAGGTCAAGAAGCTCTTCCAGGTCGATCACACCATCAATTACAAGACGCACCCAGCATGGGCCGAGGAGGCGATGACACTTACAAACGGTCACGGTGTGGATCATGTCATCGAAGTAGGCGGCGTCGGGACCATCGAACAAAGTATCGCCGCGGTGACGAACGGCGGCACCGTCTCGGTGATCGGCTTTCTGGCCTCGCTCCCGGACGACAGGATGCCCAACGTGACGCTGCAAATTCTACTCAAAGGCGCGAAGCTTCGCGGCGTCTTGGGGGGCTCCAAGATGCAACTAGAGGAAGCCATTCGTTTCATTGCGGCGCGAAACTTGCCGGTCCCCGTCGACAAGGTATTCCCATTCACTAAAGAGGGTATTTTAGCGGCCATCAAGTATGTAGAATCCGGTCAGCATATAGGCAAAGTATGCATCAGGATAGACTAGAAGTCCAGATGAAGCGGGATAAAGTTATTTTGATGTTCTCCCCACGGACCGAATCCCAGTTCCACTTCACTGTAGGTGAGCCATGACAACAACGCCTGTCAATATCCATTAAATACCCCCTTTCGAAGCTCAGTAGTAATATAAAATTTACTTGTCAGAGATGTTTCCTACTGCACCTGAACGATCGGAAGTGCGGGGCAAAGAAGTTCCGAGGTTCGAGTATTTGGATCTAGCCCGAATAGGAAAGAGCGCGTCGCGGGTCGCGATTTCAATTTCCACGCCAACTGCGTTCAACACCCAGTCGAATTGATCTTGTTACCATCGTTCTCTATGATCAGGGATATAGCTTTGAGCCCCTCCTATTCCTTCCGCATGACTCCCAAAATACCTTTCTTGAAGCCAACCTCCGTATATTCCATGCCCATTCGAACAACGTCACAGAGCCAACCTCCAGTCCCAATCGCTTCTTCCACTACCCTCTCGCCCCCCTCGCGGGCACTCTATACAGTTCAATCTCCCCCGAGTTTCCCGATACAAGTCGAGCTCTTGGAGCCGGTGTCACCTTTCTTCCAACCGCTCGAGCCTCCTGGCATGGTCTCAAGAGCAGCCGGATTGATTCTGGGTGACAATGTGGATGCGTGTCGGAACGTAACCCTAAGATGTTTGTCGGTTCAAGTGTCGCGGTCCAGTTGTCGTGCCTCTGAGTAGCTACACTTGCACGCCTCCTGCTTACTATTTGCTCCGGCGAAGAATGGCAGGCCGGATTGAGTGCGGTCAAAAGAGAACAGGACGTTCAGAGCCCTCCTGAGAGGGCGGTGAAAGACGGTTTCGCCATGCGTCACGGTGGTAAGAGTCCCTGAGGGACCGCGCGTCGGTATTCCAACGCTGAACATTATACGTGATCATATATGGGATGTTTTGGTGTGCATGGGCGTGAGACAAGGACCAAGAGAGAGCGGAGATGTCGAGTTGTGGAAATCAGCGCATGAGGTCTATGCCTAGAGCACAAAGGTTCTTTGGCCTACACACAAGATTGCTGGGAATTCTTGTTAGATCTGATGAGATCCACTGGCCGGAATCCGGGCTTTATGCTGCCTGGATGCCAGGTCTCGAGGTGACTTCAAGGAGATTCCGAATCAGCCTGTCTTTCAATTCGGCACTTTGTTTGTTCCAGATGGGCATGACCTGCGCAAGATTTCCACAACCGACAAACTCAGCATTGCTGCCACTCCTTTCCAACTCTGTTCTTGTTCTCGCCGCGCTTTATCTTGCGTCAGCTCTGTCGCCAAGCGCGCATCGAAGCAACCGCTACCTGATGTGTACTTCTGTTGAAGATCCCCGATCAACCGCGTTAATCTTCCACATCATGTTCAGCATGGTGAGATGGAGAGCGCCGATTCAGTGGGCCCTTGATTCTCCGGAATCTCTGGGTCCATGATGAACCCC